AGGAGTGAACAGTGCCGGAGAACTCATTCTTCACGAAGATCGTCCTTAACTCTTACGTAAAGATCTTGGAGGGCTGCACGGGAATGCTTCAGTGAGCCGACATGGGAAGTGCACATATTTGTGGTGGCGCTATCAAAGCAGACTGGCCACCGTTGATGAACGTTCCATTCCGTTTCTTATGGAGTTTTTTGTATGCTTTCGGACCTCGATACTACTTCAGTTTAAGAGAGCAGGGAGCAGGGGAAGCCTTGCGTTCCGTGTTCTTGCGTCGAAGAAGCAGTGCTCTGCTGAGGACTTTCAGGGAATCCTGGACTGTTCGCTCTCAAAATCACCGATTTTTCGAGCCTCATTTTCATAGGTTCAATGAAAATGTTGTGAAACGACGACTGAAAAGATCGAATTCGTCAGATTGGACAGTTGAGCTGATGCTGCTTCGATATCTCGATATCTACAGCTCAGAGGGACATTCTTGTTTCAACAGCCTAATATTTGCGATGCACATCGCCGGATCAATCGTCTCGATCAACAACAACACTGGCGCTCCGTCACATGCTGCCTATCAGCTGAGCGTTTTTTTCAGGGCTGTTAGTCGTTCAGCTAGCCGGAAATATCTCCAGCAATCATTCATATCCGAACATATTATACCTATTGAACATAAAATGGGTTCATGTTCAAATTCACATAGTTTACATCATGGGCCACATAAAAAAGTCGGCTGTGGTGTGGATATTGGTTGGCCAGCTTCTAGTCCCCAGATGGGCGTACTATAAGCAGGGGATCCCAGTCAAACGTGACATGACAAATGATTCGGTGGGTATATGTATACACACTCCATAGAGGGCGAGGAGGATAGGGCTTTAGTAAAAGGAAATTGGGCAAGAAGGGTGAGGAATCATAAAAAGGGAATCCAGAAGGGGAAGGAAAGGCTTAAAGTTCCGCCATTGCTTCACAAAGGATCAGCTCCTCTTCAATAAAGATCAACATCAACTCGAGCGGCACTAGGGGCATTCTTCTTTTTCACGTGACAAGTGGTAGATTATAGTTGTTCAAACACGTACCCTCTAATGTTCATTTTGGCCACGCCCACCGCCTGATCGGTTCGTAGCCAAAGTTTTACTACTTTACTAGACACATATTTTTGGTCTTTAGGAAGTTGTTGATGTGATACTTATTACATATTAATGGCAGCGATGGGAAATTGCTATTTGTATGAGCTTTCTGACTACACGATTTCGAAAACGTTTCCTTTTTCCTACTTGCATGATGATATTTTCAGGTTCTTTCCCATTTACAACCCCAAGTATGCTCGATTGTACTCACAAAGTCGGAAGCTCGGTTCACTTCCACCTCACATATTCGCCATCGCCGATGTCACTTATCACAAGTAAGTTGAAATTGTGTTGATGCCATCAGGTTCATGTGAACTTGCTAAGAAAGCTGGGAGATTTGTGGCTAATTGGGTATCCAAAACGTCAAAATTTTCGTTTTGAACATTGAAATTTATGGAAGAGACATCCATTGTAAAGCTCTTGTGACAGACGCTTTGTTAAAGACCAATTGAGCCTGTTTCCTCCTGATCCTTCAGTTTTTCAGCATGCTTCGAATCAAAGAAAGCCAATGTGTAGTGATTAGCGGCGAGAGCGGTTCGGGTAAAACCGAGTCCACGAACCATCTGATCTCTCATCTGACGTCGCTCTCCCAGAAAGGTAGCAACGCGTGCACTTCCGAGACAACCCTGCTGAACGCCGGTCCTGTTCTCGAGGTCACTATCATCCCTCTATTCATCCTTCTGGAACTCTCAAAGAAAATCTCGTTATTGCAGGCATTCGGTAATGCCGTCACACTGCAGAACAATAACAGTAGTCGCTTTGGTAAATTCATTAAAATCAACTACAGGGAGAACGGAATGGTATCTGGGTGAGAACGCATTTCATACTTATTGATCGCATCTTTTGATGAATACAAGCCAAATTTTACCTGTTCCAGGGCAAATGTTGAAATTTATCTTCTCGAGAAGTCAAGGATAATTTCTCAAGCGAAAGGTGAAAGGCAAGTGACGTTAAGGATCATCAGATTGTTCTCAGAGTCATAGCAGCGATTCAGGAACTATCACGTCTTCTACTACCTCCTTGAGGGCGCCAATGAAGAAGATCGCGCCAAATACTTCCTGTTGAAGCCTCAGGACTACCATTACCTCAACCAGGTTCGCTTCGTTTGCTCTCTGCCGACGTGTTCCGCCGAATTCTGATAGGCTTTTTAGCACGAGCAATTCTCACCTGAAGGCGTGAATGAGAAGTATGAATTCGAGCGATTGCGACGGGCGATGAGCAGTGTCGGATTCAACTCCTGCACTCAGGCGACCCTTTTCAGCCTCATTTCAGCTGTTTTGCTTCTTGGCAACATCTCCTACGTTAAGGTAAGTACCAAGAATTCAATACAACAGATGTTACGGGGTTTTGGATGAAACAAATGCAAGGAGGTACTGTAACAACATGTCATGGGCTGTTAATACTCCCTCCCACGTATGCCCTCCTTAAACACTGTCCTTATGAGCCCTTCGACTTGTCTGGAATCCGGAATCGTAACTTCCCTTCCATGAGATGTACGGTACGCTGCTGTTTGAAAGTACCAACCTTCTCTCTTCTCTTCTGGAGCACTACCCTGTCGAGCGTTAGATCATTCAGCTCAAATGTAAGAAGGCAAAAAGACCACGGCTAAACGAATCCACCCCAACTGGTCTCCATCAAAGTCATTGCGAAAAGTCTTTACAGAGGCACGCATACCATAGCGACGAGAATGCCTACATTGAGAACGAGGAGGTTGTGGATTTGGTCGCTCAACTGCTCAACATCAAGACCGAAGCTCTAACCCAGGTAAATCACAAGTTGGGGAGCAATTTCGACTTGGGACATTCATTTAAACGAAGGGACTTTTCAGGCGCTCACGATGAAGCGGCACGTGATGAAGACAGAGACTGTAGTGACGCGTTACAGCGTTTCTGAGGTAAGCCTCCTTTGCTGAGGATTCCCCGCTTAAGGAAACGTTGCTCACTTAAGGCAATTAACACACGAGATGCTATGGCAAAGTGCTTGTACAACGCCCTATTCCACTGGATTGTCCTTCGCGTTAATCAGGCTCTTATGAGAAAGGATGTCTCTGGAAGCGTTGGATACTACATAGGTAGGTGGATTGATCCAGCTCTAATACTTTCGCGGTTGTAGAGGACGAGTTGATGGCTTCCGATATAATACTTTGTCCTGAACGTTGGGGGAAGTTCGTGAGGTATAAAGTGGGAGGAGGGGGTGGGTCCGGTATGGGTATCCAACAGTGTCCTTCATTTCGTTGATTAATGCTAGGAACTAATGCCAAATGACTAATTATTGCGGTGGCCTGTACACGTCAGTACTTTTGCCGTCCCGGACGGATTGCGTTATCAATTAAGCGACCTCGAAGAAACAGAAGCTTTGATTGGCCTGGGCGAATACCGATATGGGGTTAGCCTCGCTGACTTGCATATGTGATAGTGAACCACTTTCCATTACACCATCTCCACCTACCGGGTATACTTAAAAGGATAAAGGATAAAGTATTGGGGCGTTAGTCAATCTCGTCTGAGGGATGTGCCCACGCATTCAACTTCCATTCAGAATCGTAGTGGCCAATGATTTGCGGTGGGCACCTGATGTACAAATTAGCCGCGGAGAGATCGAAGGTTTCGTTGGCCCAGGTGGATACTTGTCGCTACACCACCACCTTATGGTATTTTAGTAGAGCTTGTGTGGTTTAAAGAGAGCAAATATCAGGGCCCTCCACCAATCGTTAGCAATTCCTCAGGTATTGGTGCGGCCCACCTTGTCGAGTCCAGTTAGGGCCACGCTACTGTCCTACAGCTCTGTTTCTTCCTCTTTGATAACGAATCACAGCTCGGGTGAGCTTGATACTATTGCAGGAATCTTGGACATATTTGGATTCGAAGATGTGGGCGCCCAGTGGAATTCATTCGAACAGCTTTGTATTAACTATGCCAATGAACATCTTCAGGCATACTTCAACCAGCACATCTTTCAATTTGAACAGGTCTTTCGGGCGGCATTCTGTGGTTTTTGTTAGTCAGCGAAGGAAAACATGTGTTACAGGAAGAATACCAATCTCAAGGCATATGCTGGACCAACATTGAGTACACTGACAACACTGAATGTGTTCAGCTATTCCAGGTGAGATCACGGTATACGCCGTGCCGCCGTCAGTCTTCACAACTACTCCCTTGATAATCACTCATTCCAGAGTAAACCATACGGTTTGTTGCGATTAATCGATGAGGAGAGTAACATAAACAACGGTACTGACGAGTCGATGCTTGCCAAACTCAATCAGTTCCTCAAGGTGCCAGATTTTGCATAGGAACGATTGAATACTTGAGCGGAATGAGTTGTTCCAGACAAACGAGTACTACGAGACGCCACAGCGCAAAGAGCCAGCCTTCATCATTGCTCATTATGCAGGAAAAGTCAAGTATCANATAAACAACGGTACTGACGAGTCGATGCTTGCCAAACTCAATCAGTTCCTCAAGGTGGTGCCAGATTTTGCATAGGAACGGTTCAATACTTAAACGGAATGTGTTGTTCCAGACAAACGAGTACTACGAGACGCCACAGCGCAAAGAGCCAGCCTTCATCATTGCTCATTATGCAGGAAAAGTCAAGTATCAAATCACGGTATGGGTCACGGGAACCTCCCGAAGCCGACCTACAAGTACTGTCTGATTCCAGGGTTTTCGCGAAAAGAACAAAGATCTCATGCGGCAAGACGTCCTGAACACCTTAAAGACGAGCAAATGCGCGTTGATGAAGGCAGCATTGGCCAGTGACCCAGTGGCGGCTTACAGGTAAGGCTCCAGGTTAATAGGCCATAGCAGTGGCTATGTCTCATTGAGTTGCTTCAGGTGGAGCTTCGCTCGGACTGTGTTTCGAGCCATGAACGCGTTCAAGCAATCTGGAAAGAAACTCGCCAGAAGCGGTTCGCTAGCTTGTTCTTTTCTGATTAACTATGGCTAGGGTTCCACAGGAGTCTAAGGTGTAGTGCTACTATTCAAGAATCCGCTGGTCACCTTCGAGTCATCAAGGAGGTTCCGGAGTCTCGTCGTGGATCGGATACAGCGCTCTCTCAATTCCTCCGTGGCGACTTGCACATCGATCTGCCTGATTTCTGTGACACCAGTATGTTCCAAACGATTGTGAATCAGGCTAGACGTACACCGGCAAAAGGGGAAGAGCGTATCAGCACAGTCAGAAGTCTACAGGTAAGTTGAGTTGAGAAAGTTAGAGCCCACTGCCTTGTTTCGATTCATTATAGATACTCAAAGAGACGATTGGCAAACGGAAGATTTCGAACAAGCCCACCTCCGTCTCAAAGCAGTTCGAGTTTTCGTTGAATCGTCTCATGAATACCCTGGCCCACGCTTCACCCTACTTTATACGATGCATAAAGAGTAACAACGATAAGGTGAGCTACTTTCCCGTTCATCCGACGATTCCAAGGGTCTTTACAAACCTTCACGTAGGCTAACTCACGTCTAATTTCCGCTTCTTTCTAGCAATAGTTGCGTGTTACGGTAT